AAAAGCCCATAGTGGATTCGAACCTACGACCTTTTGGCGTTCCAAACTGTGCTCCAACAGTTAGACTATCTGGGACAATCTAGATCCCATGGCACATATACTGGGTCAAATATGCGTATCTATAGTTAGAAAATATTTGTCATGGGCGTTTATTTGAGCAGGGCGTTTATTCGAGCAAATACAGTATGTATATACTGCTGTAATTATTATTTGTATAGTTCTCTTGAATTGTTCTTATTTCCCATTGATACCACACCTGACTGTTAGTGCTAATGCATCCTATACTCCAGGATCTGTGATAGTATTCCATTGTGAATCCGGTTATATTATAAATGGACCATCAACTATCATGTGTAATGATAATGGTGAGATAGAAATCAAATCAATGAATGTTACATGCACATGTATAGTCAACTTTAAAACAATTTTTCCCCATTGATTGTTTTAGGTTCTTGGAATAATTCATTTCCCAAATGTCTGTTGTCTTCATCATCATTGACTTCATCAAGCACACAATCTTTATCCAGTACACCACATTTATCTTCACACACATCAAAGACTCTTCATTATTCACTCAACACTTCACACCCATCAAGCACAATGCATCCATCAAGTACTGTTCATTCATCCAGTACTCTACATCCATCAAGTACTACTGTTCATCCATCAAGTACTGCTGTTCATCCATCAAGTACTCTATTCATCCATCAAGTACTCTACATTCATCAAGTGCAATGCATTCATCAAGTGCAATGCATTCATCACACCCACTAAGTTCTTCCACTTCACAAAATTCAGCAAGCTCATCCCTACATTCAACAACTGCTCCACCTTCATCAAGTTTATCAGTTAATACTCTTTCAAGTACACATGGTAAGTTAATGACACTATTATTCCATGCATATAAAGCACTAAAGTAAGACAAGAAGTATCATTTTATTTAATCCATTGCTAGGTACTCTGCAGCCTTCAGTTAGGAGCACATCAACTGCAATAAAACTATCTACAACCTCATCAACTCTTGTAGTAAACTCATCAAGTTTTTCTCCTGAACCATCTATTGCAGCACATTCTTCTGGAAGTAATATGAAAAATATATAATTTTTAAAGATTTATAATTTTTCAATTTTTTAAAGATAAAAAGACCCTAATAGGAAGCTTAGTAGGAGTTGGTGTTATTATTTTAATTATAATCATCATCATCATTGCTGCAGTGTATTTAATTGTAAAGTAAGCATTTCATTTGTAAATCTGTGTATGTGTATAATGCATGTTTCCTGAAATAGCTATTAGCTATAATGCTCAATAATGAAAAAAATTATTTTTAGGGCTCGAAGGCGGCATCGTGATTATCGTTCCTTGAGAGCAATAACCATTAAAGCTGAAGACTCTGAGGATGATGATGATGATGAAGAGAGAATTAGTTTAATAGATACAGAAGATGAAGAGATTGCTGATGAGAGGATAAGAGCTGACGTGAGTGGTATTGATCTAAAGGAAATGGGCAAGGGAGGTGAGTTGAAACTTGCTAAGGCAAGCAGTATCACATGATTGTCATTTTTTATCTTTGCAGCTGGTCACTTTCAGCCATTGTTGCATTCTGATGAGGAGACTGATGTTCCTCCAATTGACATTTGAAAATAATTTTTTTGCTGATATTTTTCATAC